AAAGAGTGAGGAAATTAATATTATTTTGGCTTAACTCATGTTATGAATGAGGAGGCGGTGGAGGGGAAGTGCTTGATATATTCCAGAAATGACAGTAACAGGCATAAAAATGGAAGAGATAAAATAAATGAGATTAAAGTTTAGTCATTCCTTAATGAGATTAAATTAACAGCAAATTATGCCTTGGAAATAGTAATTCATATTAGGAGAGGAATGGTGACAGAAAGAACTGAAGGAAGTGGAGACAGAAAAGTGTGTGAGAGAAAGGACAAAACTGTTTAAGAGGGCAGGAAATAAGTAATGTGGGAAGATAAAACCAGTATAAAAATCCCAATTTTGCTCTGATTTTGCATCCTTCACTCTCCAATCCCTTTTACTTCCTTACCAATGTTTTACTTGTCCACTCTGCTTCTTGGGTGTAAATTTGTTCTTCTGGAAAAGAAAAGGCTACCTAGAACAGATGGAATACTTCTAAGGCCTTAAGAAAAAGTCTTATTTCAGTAAGTATCTTTTTCTTTAAGACTTTACTGCAGAGTGGAAAAAAAGAGACAATGTAATGGGAAGAGGGTAAGAGGAATAATGATAAAGTGCTTTCTTGGAAGCAGTACAATCCAGAAAACAGTTGGAATCCAGATTATCGGTAAAAATGCACTTAATGATCTTCTGAAGGTGCTGTGTTACTATTAGACACAGCTGTTGGGATTTATGTTTTTTAACCCACCAGTAGGGAGTGTTGATAACTTTGCTGGATCAAGTTCAGTTAATCAGACGTCACACACTGAAAATTGCTTGATAATACTTTGGAAAATTAAGACTAGAGAGGATGAATTGAATTGCAATCATTTAGTGTCTGAAACAGAAACTAAAGTTTAACTTTCCTGTTTGCTTTAGTGATATTGGCATTAGAATTATCCTTTTATACTAACTTTTAGTTTTGCTTTATGTTTGAAGTTGAAGTTTTGATGCATGCTTAGGTACAAGACGTGTAGGGGTATCAAATTGGAACTGCAGTGTGCTTCTCTGACCTTTACTTGTCTCATTAAATTTTGGCTTTATATCTAATATGATATGTGACATCTTGCTTTAATCTGAGCTTTTGCAATCTCTCCAAATGATTGGATCCATTATATTAAATCTATAAAATATGCATACATGTAACTGCGTGCAGTTCATAAATAATGAATTGGTTTAGGGTTCTGCCAACAAACTAAATTCAGATTCATGAAGACAGTATTTTACTACTCAGCTTCCTTCTGTAATTTTAATTAAGACTGTGCCCATCTAACAACAGACATTGATTTGGAAGAAAAAAAAAACAACCTGAATTTTTTATAGGGCTCATGACTTTAAAGTATCTAAAACAAACAGCTTTCATGTGCAGAGAGGGCAAGCATTGCTGACCAGGCCGTACTTGCATGATTTTTATCAGCGTTTATTTTGACTTCAGAGTGCTGAGGTTAGAAGTACAAGAAGTAGTCTTTGAAGTTTTATCTTTCTAATGCATGTGCTGGATTGCAAGTCTAACTTGATAGAATTTTGTAACTTGGATTTTAAACTACACAACCTTGGCAACAAACAGCACATTTTCATTCTTGTTTTTCTGGAAGTGCTTATAAAGAATGCCACATTCTTCATCCTCAGAATGGATGCTCTTGGTTTATTCTCTATTTCTTAATAGCTTATTTTTGTTCTAGCAATTGTGCTATTGCTGTGGATCTAACTTAGCAGTTAGAGAGTGCTATATTCTATTGTTTATTCATCCTTGGAAGAATTATGAAATTCTCATTACACAAGTTTTATTACTAGTGATGCCATGTGAGTGTGAAAGAACAGAGGTTGGCACGTTTCAAGTATAATTTGTAGGACTGATAGATAAAGGGAAAACATAAGTTACAATTTTCATATAGATACTCTTGTGAATTCACAATAATGTTTTTATAGTACACACCTCTTTTTGCACTACTTCTTGCTATCTAATCATAACCTTTCATTTTTTGTCTCTCTGCAACATTTTTGCAAAAAGCCTTTGCCCTGTTAGGTATTTTTAAGGAAGCT